TCACACATATTCACCTCTGCACATACATTTATGGGCATACAGACTATAATACTCACATCTGCATATAGACCAGCCACTTTCATGTCTGCACACAGATCATACACACTCATATCTGTGCACACTCCTTTCTGCACACAGACCAAACACATTCATATTTGCATACATATCACAATACTCATATGTACACATACAGATCACAGACATTCATGTATGCACATGTTGATCACACACACTTCTATCTGCAGGCACAGATCACACATGTTCATGCTTTATACAGAGATAGACACACAGCTGCAGTTGCCCGCATGCGTGTAAGTGGCTCAGATATCCACATATATCATTACAAACCTGTTCCCCAAGGACATGCACACCTGCCCTTTTCTTGGCACACCCTGAAGCTGAAGCTCATTTCTTACACCGCACAAGCCACTCTACAGGTTACAAATATTTGCTGAGAGCCATTGTTTGCCAAGAACCAAGATTAGTCGTGCACTGAGCATATCAGACAAACAAGAAGCTCTGTATTTTGCGTCTTCAAGCCTCAGACCACAAAAGTCTGAACTGGTGACATTGTTGTCCTTTTCTGCTGCCTGCTGCCTGATTTGTCACCCCAGATGAAAACTGAATCCACACAGCCATTGCTTTTCTAACCTGGGTCTAAGAGGATTGCTATGATGACCTGGGGTTTGGCATGGAGTTCTCTGCCCCTGAGCTCAGAGCTGGAAAGTCACGGTTCTCCCGTGACATAGGTGTCTCTTCTGTGACTAGCCTTCAGGTCTCTGGGATGGTTGGGTCTGTTAGGTATCACATGAAGGGTGCACACCAAGTACTTCAGCAGACACTACTGTCTTTTCCAGACCAGTCCACCTGGAATGGAGCCTGAATCTACCCCACTCCCACCCCGTTTAGTGTAGAAAACTTTTTTGAACTTCCTCGTCCAGATAGGGTTCCTTCCTTCTTGGCTAGTCTGTAGGAAAGTATCTTATGTTACTTTGCACAAAAGTCCACCAGCCCCTGCCATGTTCCTCTAATTGTTTTCCTTTTAGGGCTCCTGAGCATCTGTCTGCCTCTGTTTCTCTCCGTCACTTTGACCCTGATGTCTCACTGATGGACAAAAGGAAACCTGGTGTGGTTCCCAGCTCACTTCCTGCCGGCCAGGAGGAGAGATGCAGGCTGGTTTCCAGCCATAGGAGAGGGACTCACACTGCTCCCAGATTGCACTTACTCTCTCCCTTTAATCCTCTCACTCAAAACCTAGTAGTTATCCTCCAATGCTGCTCTCTCTCCAAACGGGACTTGTGGTACATCTGCACATGGAGCCCTGTCTCCTTAAGGAATAATAAGAATAATAATAATAAGTTTAAAAAATCAGCTTTTGGAGTCATTAATTCAAATCTTCACTGACCACACCGTCACTGTGGACACTGTCTGTTGTACCGAGCATCACATGGTGGGATGAAAGCAGACCCTTTCCCTATTTTAATGGACTTCACAGACGCTCTGAGAAACTGGGATCTCAGAACAAAAGTTCTGTTATGCTACCTTAGAAAAGACACACAATGTGTCTGAACATCACCTATATAAACACACACACACACACATATATATATATATATATATATATCCGTCCTTCCATTTGCTGAGCTGCTACTGTACCAGTTACTAAGCTATGCCAGGTATATAACAGTGGATACAGGCCGTGAGCAATGCAGGCACAAGTCATGCCTCAGAACTTGAACATGCAATTCTTTAGGCTGCCAGGGACTCCAGACCTGGAGAGTTTAACAGACATCAGGAGGTGGCAGATTCTTTGCAATGGGGGCAGTCAAGAGTGCCCTCACAAGGATACACTTGGCTTTTCCACAAATGAACTTTGGGGACTTCACATGTTCCAGGCCTACATTAGATGCTGAGAAACATTGGCGGATGAGACAAAGCCTTTTCCTTTCTCCAGGCATCTTAAGTCTTAGAGAAGAGATGTAGAAGCAATGGCAGGTGTCTTGTGTCTCCTTAGGACTCCCGCTCACTAGACTTCTACAGCCACTCCTAAAGCTGCAGCTCTTTTCTCAGGCCCCAGCAGTAGAGGAAAGCACAATCAAGCCTTTTCCATGGGTAGAGAGACTGTGCGACTTTATCCATGGACAGGGACCAGATCCAATCTACACTTAGACACCCAGAGATTCCAAAAGTCTCTAGAAAAAAAAAGTGTCGCCAATGCTGATGGGAACTGTTTTTTCTGACCCACCTGGTTTCCTGGCCACTCACTGGACCTTCCTGGGGCAGCCAAGGCCTCAGATCAGGGAAAGACACACGTGTGAGTCCAAAGCAAGGACTGCTGGAACAGTATGTCTTATGTTAAGAGCTCTTATCTCACACAGACACTCACAGCACATACAGGCTTCTTGCTATTATATAAGAGCTCTGCAGGTGACCCACAGGCTAGTCCAGTGCTATCCCAACCACGATTAGTCTGTGTTCTGCTTGGACTGAGGGAGTCCCTACGGAACGGTCTGTGCTGTGACTCAGGAGCAGCAGGACTTGAAGGGAAGGTCTGGGTCAAGGGAAACAAGGGCTAAGCTAAAGACAAAGGCCGGGTAAGGGGCAGGGGAGAAATGTCCCAATGCCATCTCTGCCCCTACCATGTCTTTTCCTTTCTTGCTTTCTGTCTGCTGGTTAAACAACTTAATGTAGCCCCAGCTATTAATTAATTAATATTAATTAGATACCAAATTAAATGCCAGACACTTTTATGGTAGTGAGGAAATAGAGAATTATCAAGACGGCCACTTTGGTAACGACAATACCTTGAAATGATAACCGTGCAATGTGACAAGTGGTGACAGCCATGGGGGAGGGGGAAAGACAAGGACAACATAATAGTCTGATATGAGTGCTGTTTCACAAAGAATGATAGGGTATGATAAAGTATGGCCTCCTGACAAGCAGAGGCTGACGGAGTATGCGAGCGAACCAGCCTGCTCGGGACAGCTGGGGAAGATCGTCACAGGTAGCTGGGATATTAACTGCAAAGATCCCAAGGCAGAAACGTACGTCTCTCCATCAAGGCTGACTGCCACCTGGACATGGGACGAATGACTCATGAAGGGGGCCCTAGAACATACATTTGCTTTTGTCCATTTGTTTACTAAACCAATGCTTTCTCAGTGAAGATCAGGATCCAGGTCCTCAAATCGCCTGCAGACTTGACCGACTAGTTACCAGGCCAGGGAATGTGACTGGAGTTGTCCTGGAGAGACACGGGAACAGAGCAGAGGACCAGACTGGATGTAGAGCTAGGTTCTCCATCCTAGCTTCCTGGCAGAGGTGGTAAAAAGGAAAAGGCTGAGCACGGAACAATCTAGGCAGGGGGAAGATTATGCAAGCATTTGGGGATGAGAAAGAGTTCAGAGAATCTGGCATTGGCTGCAGCAGAGCTGGTACAGCGAAGTCGGAGTAGAAGCAGGAAGTGTAAACAGGGTCAGATCCCCAGGGCATAGTGAGCTAGGAGCGGGGGACAAGACAGGCTGCAGAAACAGAGGCAAGCGAGAAAGCACAGAGAGCAATCTGTAACCAGCACTAAAATCACCCTCTCGCGAGATAGAGACCCGCATTTGGACTGGTCAAGTGAAAGCCAAGAAGACTTGATAGAACCAAGAGGGATTTGAAATGCAGAACGATGAGATGCGGAGCTTCCTGGAATTGAGGCCCGAGGAAGAAAAGAAAGAGTCAAGTCTCCAGCTTGGAAGAGTGGTGAGCAGCACCGCCATCGGCTGAGGTGGATGGTAGACAGAGGGAGAGGAGGGCAGTCAGAAGGGCTGATGGACTCCGACTGCAAGCTGTTGAGTTTGAGGGACCTTGGGTGTCTGTTCCCAAGAGGAGAAGCTCAGAAAGATCTTGGGACTCAGGAGAGTGATCTAAGATGGGACTCAACGTGTGGTGGAATTTGAAAATGAGCTATAGTTTGAATCTAAAATGGTCTTCACTGTCCCCTCTTTCCAGCATTTGTTCCCCAGATGGTGGTGCTCTCTGGGATGCTATAGGGCCCCTAAGAGATGAGGTGCAGTTGGCAGAAGTCCACCACTGGGGGCAGACTATTCAAGGTTGGGTCTGAGTTCACAGCCTCTTTTTCTCTCTACTTCCTGGTCTTTGGTGATGTGAGAAGCCCCTGTCACATGCTCCCATTGCCATAGGCTAAATTATACTGTACTCTCAGCCATGATGGACTGAAGCCCCCTGTTCTGGTTGGTCTTCTGTCAGCTTGATACAGGCCAGTGTTATCAGGGAAGAGGAACCACAATTGAGAAAATACTTCTATGCTATTGGCGGGGAGAGAGACAGTCCATGGTGTTTAAGAGTGAAGCCCCTGGTAGGTCAACTACACCCCAGGGGACACCCATACATCCAAGAATATTTGGACAGTACAAATTGGCCTTGGAGGAAAAAGAAGACATTAGGTAGGGGACAATGGGACTAAACTTTGGAAGACTTGGGTAAGGGGCTGGATATGACCAAGCTTTTAGAGTCTTTTTCACAGTTCTGTGCCTTCTAATGTCTAGGCTAGCCCGCCTATTTTAAGGACTTGAAGGGGAGGCTATACCTATGCTGACTTTGTCCAAAAGCCTTGGCCGTCTCTTTCCATTCTACAATTCAACCCATTTCTTAATATGTCATTGGAAATGGGGTAAACTCTGTGGCTTAAGAATGGCATTCCCTCAAACCCCCTTCCTTCATTCTCTCACACTCCCTGGCACCAGGTGAATAAAGAGGAAGTGCCCTATTGCAATTAGCTCGGAGCAGGCATTAAGCTGGACACCTACTGAGCAAACAAGTCTATTGGGTTTCTGTCTACTTTCCTCTGGGCATTTTTGCTTCCTTCTCACTCGTGTTTGCTCTGTGGGAATGAACATGGCATTGGCTTTATGAGTTTATTGGAGGATTAGATGGGAGAAATCATGATTGCAAGATACTGGCAATGACTGGTGTATGCAACCTTAAGTACATATTGCAACTACTTGCGGAGAACCATTCATGTGGAATAGTACCTTCTGGAAGAGTTTCCATGCAGGTGGCACAAAAGCCCTCCTTTCACCACCCTTACGGTAAATGGCTTATCTTACCTACGTCCAACAGGCCCTAGCGCCTGGGAACTTAGCGCCAGTCCAGCCTCAGCACCAATCATGAAGGGCCACATGAGTGGGGAGTGTCAGTATAAATGAAGCAGACAGCAAGTTCTGTTCCCACACTGGGCAGAAGAGGAAGGAGCCTCTGGGTTCTTCGCTGACGGTTAAGTCCTGCTCCAAGGCCCAGCAAGCTTTCTCTTCACCGGCAGGTGAGTTTTACCCTCTTTACCTACTTGACTTGCCTGGGGTACCTGTAAACTTTCTGAATCCAGAAGTGATTCTGGACCTTAGCCATTGCCAAATGTTCCCCAAATCAGTCAGCTCACAGTCCCAGTCATTGGCTGGCTCTGGGCAGCTTATATAGGATATCTTTTCTCTTCCTACTAAGAAGACGCAGGTCTCTACTTGGGTTAGAGACTCTCAAACGCAGTCCCGGGTGCTCCTCTGACCCTGCTCTCTTGAAATGACTCATGATATGCCATCAGAAACAGGTTTCTAGCTCCAACTGAACATTTTTTAGAGACTGCAAGAAAGCACCTAAAGGTCTCCTTTCAAGGCACAGAAGGATAACTGCCACCTGAAGCTGACGTTTTGTCTGTTATTTACTTGCTTCTTTGCTTTTATTATTCATTCATTAATTATTCTATCATGTAATTTGTTTTTAACTGGGAGTCAGTGTGTGCTATTTTCTGTACCAAGAGAAAAGGGTCTTAGGATTTAATCTAACATAGCTCTATGCTCTTGAAATCCCAGAGGACCTGATGGATATAATTAAGACAGACTGCACTCTTACTTATAGGTACCAGCAGGCATTAGAATCCCTGCCTTTAATTTCTCGAGAGTGTCTATTTCCACCTGCGCTCTAGGACATTCTGCAGCGTTCACCCACCTTTGGCTTGCTCATTAATGGATTTCATCCTGGAAAGCCCTTAATCCCATCCCTCTCCATTTCTGCACATCAGGCCAGAAGTTTGGCTTTTGAAAATCTGGACCTGTTGCCAGGTCCATGCCACGTCCATAGCTGCACAGAGAGGCAGATATGGTTTGGTTTAACATACTCTCGAAACTAAACTTCTTCACCACAAAATGGGAACCATGACAGCAGCTTCCTGTGGAGTAAGGCAGAGACTTAAGTGAGGCAAACCATGCAAAGGGCTTCAAGCAAATTTCATCACATGATAGGTGCTGAGCTGAGTCTCGACCTCACCCCCAGGCACAGCGGTCTGTGGGCCTGACCTGACGGGAGACTTTTCCTTTCCTGTAGTTACATGGAGAGTCTGCAGTCTGCGGTGTGACCTGCAAGCCTCACTTTAAGGGGAAAGATGGTGGGCTGTGACCTGCTGTGGCTGGCTGTGGCCTCCTGCATTCTGATGCTGGCCTCTTCATCTACAACAACACAGCAAGGTGAGTATCTGCTCGCCGGGGGTCACAGACACTCAGAAATACCTAGGGAGTGAGCAGAGGGAGGGAGCAGAAAAGGCCACTCAGTTTGGTTCCAGGAACAGGGAGTTGGGAACAAAGACTTAGAGATAGAGAAAGCAAGGAAAGCAGCAATCTCTTGTAGGCTTAAAGGGCAGGGGAGCCAGTAACCTTAGCTTCTGAAGCCCTTTTCTGAGGGTGATCAGAGAGCACAGACTGGAAGATAAGAAGGTCACCCTGTCACCCCCTTTCTCCTTCCCTATCAAGTTGCTTATCTGTAAAAACAAAGGTACTAGAATTAACAATATTCCTGTCTTCTCTGTCTCTGTCTGTCTGTCTGTCTCTCTCTGTATGTGTGTGTTTGCTGTCTCTCCATCCTCCTGCCTCAGCCTTCGGGATTCTGGGATTAAATCCATAGCTTCTAAAACCCTTAAATGAGGGCAACCCAGACACGTGCAGAAAAAGTCCCCAGCTGGGAGTGCAAATGTGAGGAGCCCTATAATGGGAAGCTGGGAAGAAAACTGAGCTCCAAGAGCTGAGCTCCTACTCCCGTGGGAAAGCACAGGGTGCTCTGGAAATGACCCAAGAATAACAAGGACAATTCCTCTCCTAAGAGCAAACACAGGCATGATCAAGACTGGAAAATAGCCTTTCCCTGCCTTTTTAAAGCAAAGTCTCACTGGCACACATAAGATTGTGAGCCCAAAGAGACGCTTAGGTTGTCATTCTAGGGGTAACTGGCTGCATCCGGGTGTTGTGTGTGGCATTTTACAGTAACCATCTCATTTTATCTTTAAGTATTTACTTCCAAAGAAGCACTCCTCGCCAAAGCGACTCTGGCAGCCTGGAAAGCCCTTCATTTTTTTTAATGGTTGTATATTTACTTATGAATATTAAATAATATAACAATACAACCATCCCTACATTCCTATGTTATCAGAGATATTCTTCCTCTAGATGAAACTTACTTATATATATATTTATAACTGTGTGTATGCGCATGCATGTGTGTGTGTGCACGCGTGTGCACAGCACGCACGTGTGGAATCCAGAGAACAACCTTAGATGCCATTCCTCCAGTACCATCTGCTTTGCTTTTTAAGACAGGGTTTCTCACTTCCGCCACAGCTTAGGTTGACTGGTTGGTGGGCCCCTGAGGACCTGCCTAGTCCCACTTCTCCAGCACTGGGATCAGAAGCTCCTGCTACTGTGCCCAGCTCTTTAAAGCGAGTTCTCCGTGATCAATCTCACATCTTCACGCTATCTCTTCAGTATCCCTTCATTATTTAATTTTCAAAAGGAATCACTGAAAAAGTCTCTATAAGTCAATCACAGGAACAAGATCACAGGTGTACAAATGTCAGGGCCTGAGGTGTGGGAAGGGCATCTGGAAACATTGAACTATTGGGGTGGTTTTGCATTTGAGTCCTAGGAGAGCTTAATCACTTTTCAAGGTCACCAGCCAGCTGATCAGAGTTGACTTGAAATCTCCTCTTCCAGCCTCTGACCATCCCCTTCGTTACTTCTCTGCCTCTTCATACATCGTGGCTCACCCCCTCCCTCAACCCCCAAGTGAAAACTCAGCAGCAGAAATGGCCCTGTTAGATGCGTGGTTTTCAGTGGAGGTGATTTCAGCTTTCTGGGACCATCAGTGATGCCCAGAGTCTTCAGAAGTGGCTACTGGCATTGAGAGGGTAGAGGTCGAGGGTTCTCTGATTCGGTTTTAATGGCAGCTACACAATAGTGAATAACACAGCCAATAATAAACCAGTAATACTAAGCTTGAGATTGAGTGGCCTGATTGATCTGTGGATGCCAATCCGTGCTATTACCTACCGATAGGGAACAGTGCTGTTTTTGTAATACATTAAAGAGTACAACCAATGTTTTAAAATGACTCTCTGTCTCCCCCCTCCCCCCTGTGTGTGTGTCTGTGTTTGCACAGGCATGGGAAAATCCCAAGGGTTATACAACAAATCTGTGCTTACTTCTAGAGATGGGTCCAACTTAGGACAACTTTCATTTTATGACATATTTTGCCAAATCAAGCAATATGATAACATTTGTTTCTGCTTTGTTCACTTCACTAATATCTGGGAATTTTCTCAGGGATCCTGTATGATATATTGAGAATAACAAACATTGACTGAATGGGACACACACAGTGTCCTGCTAGTGGCCCACAGAGAAGCTCTTTGAAACCTTGGGTGGGGCAGTGGGGTTATGTAAGGTGGTGGCTGGGATGTCCTTGTTGCACGCAAAATGCCATGGAAAGTTCTTCCTGGCCTTTCTGCTCCCTGAGTGACAAAGTCTGGCATTAATTACTGCAGTGTGTACCTATTGGCCTCACTGGAATCATTAGGGCATTCAAAGCAGAATGGAGAAGGGATAAAAACCCTGAAGGCTATGGAGTTGCTTAATAAACCTGCACGCTTTCTATTCATCCCAGATTATGGAGGCCCCAGGAACAGTGGCTCTGATGGGCTGGACTGTGGAGCATCTGGCTCCTGCTTTGACCCTTGTCAGAATTACATCACCCTGGATGACCCGTCCAGAAGCACAGAATACACGGAGGTCTCAGATGCGTGTGATGACAATCTCCGGGGCTGGTACCGCTTCGTGGGTGAAGGAGGAGTGAGGATGCCAGAGACCTGTGTGGAAGTATTCCGGTGCGATACCTCTGCTCCCATGTGGCTGAATGGAGCTCACCCTAACCTGGAAGATGGCATTGTCAGCCACACAGCCTGTGCCAACTGGAATGAAAATTGCTGCTTCTGGAGTTCTGAGGTCAAGGTGAAGGCCTGCTCAGAAGAATCAGGAATCTTTCATGTATACAAGTTCCAGGGCACCCCCGAATGCAGTCTGAGATACTGCACAGGTAAGATCCCCTGAATGCAGTCTGAGATACTGCACAGGTAAGATCCCCTGAATGCAGTCTGAGATACTGCACAGGTAAGCAGCAGCTGCAGGACAGGGTGACTTTTAGTGCCGAGGACTCAGAGGATCCAGAAAGGTCCAAGAGGAGACTAAGCAAAGCAGCCACTACTGGGCTCCTGTCAGAAATACACATGGAAACATAATTTGGGAGCTGCCAGGCACAAGCCAGAGATTCACATTTGAGTGTGAGATAGCCTGAATTATAAATGCATATTGCATAATTCCAGGCAAGTTAGAAGACTCAGTAGCTAAAATGTGCTTGCTATACGAGTATGGGGACTGTGGGGACAACCCTCAGCACCCATGTAAAAAGCTGAAGGCAGCCAAGCTCGCCTGTTACCCCAAGACTGAGAATCAGAGACAGGAGTCTGGGGTTTACTAGCTGCCAGTCTCGACCCAGGTTCAATGAGAGACCCTGTCTTAGGGGAATAAGGTGAAGAGGGGCTGAGCAGGACACCTGATGTCCTCCTCTGGCCTCTGTGCATAGGTGAGTGCTCACTCCCACACATCCATGCACAGCACATGCGCACGAGCTCGCGCGCGTGCACCCACACCCACACACGAATCATTTCAAGAACCCAGGCTCATTCAAATTTTACTTTTGTCAAATTTTACTCTTCTTAGAACCTGTTTTCTTATCTGAAACAAAAGGGCAAAACTAACAGCTTGCATTGCTCACAGTGCATCTGTGACCATTCCACTTTAAACATATGGATTCCCTGAATCTTCCTAGTCAGTTCATGAAATGGGGTCTATGTAGTCATTCATATTCACATCTGGAGCACAAAAAAGGTTCAAGAGCTCTCCCTGTGTCATAGAGCTGGGATGCAGAAGAGCCAGGCTTTAAACCCAGGTCCTATAACCCTGGCAACCATGGATTTAAAATCTTTGGCCTGGGAGCTTCAGGGATGTTACTCACTCTGCTGGAAATGGGAATCAAGAAATACGAGTTGGAGGTTTGGCTCTTCTGGCAAGAATCTCATATATTTATAAAGACTGAAGGAATGAGAGAGTTGGCTTGGGAGGACACAGACCCTCCCTGATCTGCATCTTATTCCTCTTCCTCTGTCCCTCTAGAACCTGAAGAAACCACACCTACCCCCGAAATCACCACTACACCCACCCCTTCACCCACCACTGAACCCACCTCTGCACCCACCACTGAACTCACCTCTGTACCCACCACTACACCCACCCCTAAAACCACCCCTGCACCCATCTTTAAAACCACCCCTGTACTCACTTCTAAAACCACTGTTGGACTCACCCTTGAACCCACTGAGTGTGATATCACTTGCCGTCCTGAGGAGAAATGTGTTCTACTCCAAGATGGCTCCTGGACCTGTGTCTGTAATCCGGACCTCAGTGTTTCTGGTGAGTAGCTCCTGGGGCAAAAGGAATGAGACAGGGTCAGGATAAGGCAGGGATCAGTGTCAGGGGCCATGGAACTGACATTGGGGACATCTTGAGATTTAGTTAGGCTACTTGTTACAAAGCCAGTGGGTTTGCAAGGGTGAGAGAGGGTGGGGCCAGATCAGACTTCCAGGTCAGCTGGTGGAACACTGGTGGCAGGGGCATCTGGCTTTGGTTTAGTGTCGAATATAGAACCACTTTGATTTTCCAAGAGCAGCTAAGTCAAGCCTGTATCTGAGATGCTTGGAAGTCTTCAATTGGAGACCTCTTTTTATCAGTGTGAGTGTGACTTCTGTTGGGGTCTCTGACCCCATCTAGTCTACCCTGCAGCTCGATGGGCATGGTCAGCTTGCCAAAAGGCTGAGAAGGAAGACGTTCCTCATTGTTTCCATTCCTCTGTCCAACACCACTGACCTTACTCTTGGCCTCCTAGATCCTCAGAGTTTGCAGCCTGAGCTGGACTGTGGACCTAGTGAGATCAAGGTGAAGCTGGACAAGTGCTTGTTGGGAGGTCTGGGTTTCAAGGAGGAGATCATTACCTTCCTGAATGACCGGAACTGCAGTGAAATCATGCAGAATGAGCCCAACAACTGGGTGTCCGCCACCAGCCCCGTTGGGGCTAATGCCTGTGGGAACATTCTGGAAGTAAGTGATATTCACTCTGCTGTAGTAGCGGGTGGGATCTGGGCTCACGGGAGCATCTTTAGAGCAATGAGATTGTAGGCAAATAGCTTGTCCTCATCGGGCTGCCAGGGTTGTGTGGATTTATACATGTTGGTCCATGTTGAAGAGGTTAGGCTGGGTTTAGCACTTGAGCTTTGTGAGGTCAGCTCTGATCACAATGATCTTCGTTAGGGGTGGTGTGGGAAGAGCAAACATGGCAGGCAGCCCCTGACTCTTCCCCAGGGTTCATCATACAATTTCTAGTGTTTACTCTGGGCTTCCTGTAAATACTGGCACTGCAGGAAAAAGAGTACCCCTTACTCTCTGAGGGGTTGGGGTGTGTGTGTCAGAATCAGGGTGACTGCATGGCTGGGAACACTGACTAAGAACTCAGGCAGATCTGAGTTTGAGATAAACACCTATACTCACCTGCATAAACTCATGTGCTTTCATTTTTTTTTATACCAAAGAACAATGGGACCCATGCCATCTACAGAAACAACCTCTCCTTGGCCACTGATTTCATCATCAGGGACTTCCTCGTCAATGTCAACTTCCAGTGTGCCTACCCACTGGACATGAAGATCAGCCTCCAAACTGCACTTCGGCCCGTTGTGAGGTATGATCACACACACAATCCGTGATGACCACACAGTGCTACCACGCCCACCGCAGGAGCTTCCAATCACTACATTTCTGTATTGAAGCTAAGGACATTGAGAATGATCAAGAAACTCATGACTAGTAAAGATTTTTTTCTATGAAGCAATGCTGTACCATGGATTGGTACTCGAAATGTGCTCAGGAAGCAAAAACTTCAGACAAGCTCATTCACCTTGAGGAAAGGCAGCAAACAACCAATCATATCAACAGTCATAATTGATAATCGTTTGCAAATCAGATAATGCAACATAGGAGAATTATAGGGTACTTCGGGTCAGTAGGTATGGATCCCAGACCTGGTCTTTGTGTGGTAGAGATCGGAAGGGGTCTAGGAGGCTTTCCTGCAGGCTTGAGATTTAAGTCAAGTCTACTTTAGAAGAACGGCACCTATACTCACAAGAAATAGAGTGAAACAACGGTTTGGTGTGATTGGATCCAGGCAAGGCTTTTGTTTGCATTTTGTTTATCACTGCCCCCTTTTCCCAGAACGAAGCTCATTAAACTAGGTTTTATACAACTCTAGAATTGCCAAGGGGTTTTTCTAAACTGTCAGCCAGAAATCCAGGGTGCTTGTCTCATTCCCCGATTGCCTCCTGGGCTCACAGAATTGCAGGATGCGAAGAATTAAGAATGTCAAAGTTCAAAGGTTTTCAGGCTATCTCGTGTTGGAGCCCATGTTCATAAATATGAAAATGAAAGTCATTTATCTTGTTCAGACTGGGTTCGGCTGAAGCTTGTGGGGTGGACACAGGAGACATAAGGCTAAAAATTGTGAGCCTGTAAGAGCTGATCCCAAACCCCATTGCTCAGGTGACAAGATGGTGCTGTGTGCTAACCCGTGTTCCTTGAGTGAGAGTTTGATGTAGCTGCCACACAGGGGGAATGGGTACACATCCTGGAGACAGGCTTGCCAGTCTGTCAAGTTCAGAGCTTAAATGCCAATAAGTAGTCTGTTTCAATGGATTATCAACTAGTTCATTTACAGATCAGAGATACATCATTTTCTCCATAATATTGTCATAGTGTAAGGCTTAATTTAGTTGCTTCTTTCCTGTCAAAGCCTGATGTTTCCACTCTTGTGGTTTTCCTCGTCTCAGTTCCCTGAATATTGATGTGGGCGGGGCAGGAGAGTTCACTGTCAGGATGGCCCTCTTCCGAGACCAGAGCTATACACAACCTTATGAAGGGGCCCAAGTGGAGCTTCAGGTGGAGTCTATGCTCTATGTGGGTGCCATCTTGGATAAAGGAGATGACTCCAGGTTCAAGCTGTTGCTGAGGAACTGCTATGCCACACCCACAAAAGATAAGAATGACCCTGTGAAGTACTTCATCATCAGAGACAGGTATCAGTACACTCTGGGATTAATTGTTTTTGTTTATTTTGTTTTGTTCTTTTCGTAGCTAAGTTTTGGATAAAAACATTGTCTCATCCATTGCTGGCTGAGGTGCAAATTGAGTCACTTTATTTAGAAATAATTTGCCTTTACATATTTTAAGCTTCCTGTTTGATCTTGGAATATTATTCCTGATGTTTTAACCTAAAGTATTAAAACAAACTGGATGAGTGGGGTAAATAAATGCAAATAATTTTCCATTTTTAGTATTCTTGATAATTTCCCCATTATGTTTACTGTTAAAATATAGTTCAATTGAGTAATAATGGACTATTATATAAATGCTTATATTGATTAAAATGAATGTGATATACGAATATTACGGGACAAAATATTCTTGTATGTCATTTAATGATAAAACAAAGGAAATGCCTGCCTGGAGGTTACAATTCAAATATTGATGGTGCTTGGTAAAATTCATGTTTGAGCTCAGCTGTGTGACCAGCTCTGTAATGAGAAGTGCAACACAGTGGTCTCCCTAAGTGCTCATCTCAGTTATATAAAATGGACATGCCTATCTCTGCTTTACAATCAAGGGATGCATGGAGGGTTGGAGGAAAATGGATGGTATGATCACATTTCATTGTATATGTGTATGGAATACTCAAGAATACAGAAAAAAATTAAAAAGGGTATGGAGGAAAAAATCTGGACCATGGAGGCACAATAAGGATGATTAACCAGACCTGAATCACTTACATAGAAATGGGGACTGGAATCTTCTGATTCATCCTAGAAATTGGGCACCCCAAAACTTAAACCATACAAACTTATTGCAGAAAGACAGACTAGAAAAATGAGAGGATGACGGATAGAACCTGGGGCAGAGGGCTCTTTAATGCTCTCCAGTGTGGGGTTAGAAGTTACACCTTTGCCCCTTTTATTCTCCTAGCTGCCCAAATCAACAAGATTCCACCATCAACGTGGAGGAGAATGGGGTGTCCTCAGAAAGCCGGTTCTCAGTACAGATGTTCATGTTTGCTGGAAATTACGACCTAGTTTTCCTGCATTGTGAGGTGAACCTGTGTGACCCCACTAATGAAGAGTGTAAACCAGTGAGTGTCTCTTTGGACTGGTATCCAGTTGGCTGTCTACATTTATTTATTGGAGTCGTGGATGGAAAGAAAGATGAATAAATGCATAATTAGAAGGAAGATAGGGAGGAAGGAAGGAAGGGAGGAGGGAGGGAGAGAGGGAGGGAGGGGGGAAAAGGGGAAGAAGTAGGGAAGGAAGGAAGGAAGGAAGGAAGGAAGGAAGGAAGGAAGGAAGGAAGTTGGTTGAATGGATGGATGGATGCTTGAAGAGGTGGAAAGACAGATGGGTGGGAGGCTGGATATAAGGAAGAGAAGAAAGAAGAAAGAAGGTCTAGGCTGAGCATCCCCAAAGCCTATTTATGAGCAATTATTGTCTCATCATAAGGCAGACCAATTTTCCTTGGCATAACATCTGTCATGAATGATTACGATGTTACAGCTTGAGCATCATTGATTCAAAAATTTCAAACCCAAAATGATCCAAACTCTTCAAGTTTTTGAGGGAAAAGATGAAGCTCAAAGAGTTTCAGATTTTGTAGAAGGTTGGGTTGCAGATCCTCAGATTATAAATGACTAACTTGTAAAGACCGTGAAGTTTCCAAAATCTGAGAAACTCCCAAATGCTGACTACTTCTGGACCTCAGGTTTTCAGTGAGGGGCAAATGTGACCCTGTGGTGAGGCCTTCTCAGTCCCTTCTCTGGGTCAGGCCCTACACTAAAGCGCCTTTATTTTATCTACTTGAGTTCTCGCAATGACTATTTAATCAAGCCTACTATAAATATAAAGAAACTGAGGCTCAGAGAAATCCCTGACACAGCCCCATAGAGGGCTAGATGATACAGGTTAATAGCAAAATTGGAGTGTTCCCCATCTGAGCTGTGACTTCTAAGCCCATACTTTCAAACCTAATGGGCAATGTTTGAATGGCTGATATTCCTTGGGTGCTTACAATGTGTCTATATGTTGCTGTCATACTTCATGTTAATGTTAAAAACCAAATGTGCAGGGCTGGGGAGATTTGAATACTAAAATGCTCGCTATACAAGCTGAAGGACCTGGGTTTGGATCCCCTGCACCCATGAGAAAACTGGGATGCCAGAGTTGTCTGTAACCCAAGTTCTGGGAGGACAGAGACAGGATTCTGGGGTCTCACTAAATCACCAGCCTAACCAAAAGGACAAGCTCTAGGTTCATTGAAAGATCTTGATCAAAAGGAAGATGACAGCAATATAGACAGACACTTGATATCAATCCTTTGCTCCCCACATGCTTGTACACATAAATGAATGCATGAATAACTAGCTAAATAAAACTAGATATGAACTCTTTGATCGTAGATAGATAAAGACATTTGTCCCAATTATACAAGAGAGGATAGAGATGAGAGTCAAACCCAGGTATATTAAAGCTTGACTGTGAATTCTCATGGATGAAAGAAACCATAGCATCAAAAAGAAGGCCATAGGGTGGGTTAACCAAGTGCTTAGGCCATGGGTTCACAGATGTTCATACCCTTGGCAACCTGCATATAGAAACCAGGTATTTACATTCTGATATAACAAGAGTCCTATGTCTCTACAGTCTTGCTCTAGAAGTCAGCTCCGCAGCAGTGGACCAGGCATCAACTTGGCCCAGGTTCTAGACTTAGGACCCATCAGTAGGAAAGGTAAGTATGTGAGTCCTGGTGCAAAGACAGCTGGCCAAGTGTCGATAATTACCTGTGGATGCTTGGGGTCACCAAGGCCAGCCCCCCTCCCCGGGCTTTTCTTCTTTCTCGCTGCACCCATCGCTGTGAATGTGTCTTTCTATGGAGTGGAACTGTCTTGGCATTTATGGCGGCGCCTGTGGAATAGAGGCCGGGTGTAACTCTTGCATTCATCAATATACTTAATCCTCCCACAACTGTGTTCATTTAGTTGTTAGAATCCCAGGCTCGGAGAGATTAACAGACTCGCCTAAGATCACTTGCTTATGAGTGGCAGGAGTTAGAATAAACCCAGATGAGTCTGATTTCACTGCTTTTCCACACAGCTGGCCCAGGGTTCTGTAATTCCTCTCTAGCAGGGTGAATGCGCTTCCAAAATTTAGCCATGATCCTCTGGAGATAGGAAATGGGGGAAACTATGTAACCATTCTCTAACGCTTCATTCATCTCACACAAGTGTATGTAGTACTGTCGTGGTTGTTATTGCCACCTGACTGGAGGAGCAAGAGCCCCTCCTGCCAAGAAAGAAAGAGCTTTCTGCCTTGACGAAATTAAGATGCAGTAATGAATTCTCATCAAATAATAGTATTTTTATCTGCACTCTGTGCTGAACAGCTTTATGTATATCATCAGCCCGGCTGCCCATGGCAACCTCAGGCGGTCACCACGGGTCCCTCTTCTCCCTCTGGGATGAACAGGCTGAGCTGTCTCATGAGGAAGTTCTGCCTTGAGTGGCCCTGCCCTCCCCCACCCCCGCCAAGCTCTCAACTTGGATCCCTGTGCAGTGTCACAGGACAACTTGAGGAGGGGGGATTTGGGGCAAACACACAGGTCTTGTTAGCTATTCATTGCAGTGACTGGATTGCTGGGGAAAGGACTAAAGAGGAACGACCTATTTGGGCTCACAATTTCAGAGGTTTTGTTCTATAGTGACTTGCCTCCATGTTTTGAGGCCTCTAGCCAGGCAGAAGGTCACAGAGGAAGAATGAGGTGGAACAAAGCTGTTTGATTCATTGCAGTCGGGGAAGGAAAGAGGAGGGAGGGAGTAGGGAGGGAGAAGAAGGGAATCCATGGAGCTCTCCCCATTTCCCCTTTAGTCCAGGCTGTAGAATAGTTACATGCACATTCAGGGAAGTCTTTTATTCCTTGAGCTGATAGGTGGAAAATCCTTCACAGACACACCGGAACTTTGTCACCTCCTAGGCACCTCTCAACCCTTTCTAGCTGATGGTGGGAAGTGACTGTCATGCTGAAGCTGCAATCCCAACTCTGACACTGTCTGAAAAAAATCAACTTAGCGAGTTCCTTGACATCACCGAGCCTCTGTTATCCCCCAGCCAAATGGGAGGTGAAGAGACTTTCTTCGTAAACCTGTTAGGAAGATTAGACAGAAGCTGCATGGAATGTTCTTAGATATGCGCCTGCCAAGTCACCGAGGCCTCCACAGTGCGGATTGCCAGTGGGGGTGGTGATCTGGCCCAGGAGGGCTGGGAGCAAGACTGTAGCCATCAGAGGATGCCCAAGGAGACCCTCAACTTCTGCTCTTGCCCACAGGTGCTCAGACTCTCGAGACCTCAAGTGGGACTCCCAGCACTGCAGGTACATGGCTTCCTTATCTCATAACATCTCATAGTACTGTTGAGTCTCTTTCCTTCCATCCTCCAACCCTCTGGACATCAATGTGCCCCTTTCAGTGTGCCAGGCCCTGTACTGGGGTCCTGACTCGGGAAATGATGCTAACCCAAGGGTGGTTCTGTAATCTAGCAGAGGAGACACTTGCTTAGCAGCAAGTATTTTCCAAGTGTTACCCTGTGCTAGGAACTGTTCTAGAAACTGATAATGCATTGCTGATCAAGACAGGCCAGGGGTCTACCCTCGTAGAACTTATGTTCCAGGATGATAACTAGACAATAAAAAGCAAAAAAAAAATAATTAGAAATAAAAGATGGGTAGTATTATAGGAAGCTATAGGCATAAGTAATAAAGTCTTAAATCAGAGAGAAGTTTATTTCTCTAACACATAAATGAAATCTTTGGGTAAGAAAATCCATGATCGAGTCATCAAAGATTCAAGCTTCTTCCAGCTTACTCTTTCAGGTGTGGCCATCATTTTTTTTTCCAGACAGAGTTTCTCTGTAGCTTTAGAGCCTGTCCTAGAAGTAGCTCTTGTAGACCAGGCTGGCCACGAACTCACAGAGATCTGCCTGCCTCTACCTCTATAGTGCTGGGATTAATGCACCACCACTGCCCGGCCTGTGGCCATCATTTTTATGGTCCAAGATAATATCCAGGCTTGAAGAGAAAGAACATGAAGGAAATCAATGAGCATTATGATTCTGGCAGTTGGCATCTCACACCTTCATTTATATCTCATTGTTTATTATCTAACTATGTGGCTACACCTGGCTCAAATGAACATGGAAAATGGAATCTTTGTTTTGGATGGTCATTTGTCCAAACAATGTTTGATGGTGTAGTGATCTAAATAGGAAGATAGGGTAGTCAGAAGTGTTAGAAGAAATAATATTTGACCAAGAGAGCAAATGTCTCTAGATTAGGAACTACGAGATGAGTGGAACCCTCCAGGCAGAGGCAACAAGAGCTGACTAAATAAGTAAGACAAGGCATGGGCTCTTAAGTGTCAAGTGGGTGGACAGAGTCTGAGCGCATAGGGACCTAATTAACCATACCAGACATGGTTAAGAGAGTTTCACACGGCACAGATATGCCTGAGTGGGTGTTGATGAATGACTTAGAATTTAAGACCAGAGACATTGAAGAATATGTTTTGGATACTATGGAAAATACATTTTTCTCTATCCTCTGAAAGATAGATATTAGTGAACCCAGATGGGAAAAGATTCTTTTTGTATTCAAAGCCTCAACTTTGCAGCAGTCTAAGTATTTCCCAAATAAGTACAGCTCAGTGGTAACTTCAGATGGCATTCAGGAAAGAAAGACCCATTGTGTGAAATGTTTATGGCACAGAATAAAAGCCCCTAGAAGTCAGGGACCTCACGTCTCTTTCATTTCCACCACTCCTTCAGGTTAGCATCTTGCTCAGAACTTCCCAGGTGGGCTGCAGACATTGGACCCTTCTAGGGGAGGGGAATGGAGCCTGCTGAGAGGGAACAGCCACCACAAGAGGGCTCTGTGCTTCCCATAGTTTGCAATCACTCAGAATCACTTCTGAGGCTTCAGGATTAACTATCAAAAGTCTAAGTCTTAGTGTAAAAACTGTCATACATTTGTGTTCCTGAGACTCACACTCCCTTCCTCACACTCTAGGGCATCATCAAGTGACTTTCAAATTGCTGGGGATGGGGGACACTGTAATTTGGCAGTGGTCTCAAAGGGGTCGACATGTTTATACAAGACAACTGTCATTCAATATTCCCCCTCCTTAACACTGAGCATTAAATAGTGTGCAGAAGACGCACACACATGCAGACACGTGCACATGCACACATGTGCACACACGCACACACACGCACACAAATCCTAGATATCACAGTTTAATTTTCAAAACCATCATTCACACAATACTTACCACATTCTAGACGCATATTTTATATTTTATCTTATTGAAGCATTATTTATTGAACCTAAAACCACACATTTGCCATGCAAACATGTTGCCACTGAACTATAGCTCTCAGTCCACACATGATATTCCAAATGCTTGATATAAATTGATTCACTTAAACCTTATGAAATCTGATAAATCAATAGGTATGATTAATAGTTACCTTTTGTACATAAGGGCATTTGGGGCACCGAGAAGGGTAATGCCTTATTCAGGTCTACCCAGGTAGTTACAGAGCTAAGATTCCTAGCTAGAAAGTCAAGCCTCAGAGAGAGCACATTCTAATCCTTCCTGCCTCTGCATTATTAGTCACTGTAAGTAATGCTAGTGCTCTAACCAATAACCCTAAATCTATGACTTTGTGCTAGGGGATACAGTTCTGACTTAGGAAGTCCTTAGAAAGCCAGGCTCCTCCTACCCTCTGGTAATTCCTGGCCACATCAATGTGTTCCGTGAGTCAGATCTCGGACACTTGGCAAATGAGAGAGCATGAGGGAGGCTCTCAAGTCCTACAAATGGAATTTAAAACTTCCATCCTTATTTCACTGACGAGATCTAATCAGATGGTACCACCTATCTTCAAAGGAGGCCGAGAAGAACTGCCCGGAAGAAAATGGGAAAAGCAGTTGTTGTCCCAACCAAATCTAGGGCGATGTTGCTTTTCCCTTCCACAGCAAGTGACAGGGAGGCCAGCTGGCATTGGCCGCTAAGCTCCAAAGCTCAACACTTGACTCATGTCCCTTGTGTTTCAGGGTTCCTGATGGCCTGGCCCATGCTCTTCCTGCCTGTCTTCCTGCCTTGGCTGTTCTGAGAGGCCAGCTGGGCATCTGGCTGAGAAGCTCATGTTCTTCCCTCTGGCAATGGCTTTCATCCAGCCTTCTTCAGTAGAGCTGGATCCCTCTGTGTATCATGTGGACAGCCCTAGTTCAAGGCTAGGCTGGGTTTGGAGAAAGGGAAGAGCATGCTCCGTTATGTTCCTCTTTTTCTCGTGTTGAGACCCTGCCAGTTTGTCCTAGGCCAGCTTGCTCACTCATTAGTGGGGCTTGGAAAGAGAACCCAGACCCGCTTGGTTTCTCTTTGATGCTAGTAATTAGTGGAAATGCAATGCATATTAGAACTCCTGGATAGAGGTGTCCTGTGAGTGGGTAGGAAATCCATGGTTCTTCCTAAATGTCTCGTGTCCTAAAAGCTGGTGAATTGAAACCCATTGACCCTGGCATTCATTCTCTCTGCTGTGTTTCATTCTGGCAACAGTCACGTGGGAACATGCAGTTGTGAGAAGGGGAGTGAGGACTCTCAAAGGGGAGACTAGTCCCACCACTCACCTATGCCCTCCACCACTATAATGGTACCTAGAACTGCACACATCTCTACACCTGGGGCCCAGCTGCTGGAGGAACAGCTTTTTTTTTTTTTTATGCAGAACTGTCATTACCATGGAGAACAGCCCTTGCTGTTAACATTGTGGTGTGCTTGCTCTGGAGGACTAAGCAGGGGAAGGCAGACTGAAAATGATACATCAATGCTGTTGTGGGACTCTAGCCACAAAACCTAGAAGATAGGTGATTTCCCATCCTGAAGACTTTTAACTAATTATCCCAAAACACTTTACAAAGACTTGACCAATGAGGAATGCTTCCTTTCCTCACAGATACACATGAGGCTTCTCCAAGCTGACTTCTGGAAGAACAGTAGAAGCCAGAGTCAGAGCCTGGGTGCTAGGCATGCCTGTCTGCTAAGAGTTTCCACTGCACAGCCTTGTTCAGGCAGGATATGGGTTCCAAAACACAGAGACTTACTCCAACTAACTCAGGCAAAAGGGGGAATAATTGTAGGTATATCAGTCTACTCTGACTAATTTATGATTTCTAGAGATTGTATTAAATAATGTGATAATATCAAAGCAAGAAGGCCAGGGGCGAGGAGTACATCCTAGTTGCACACACACTAAGAATCAGCGTGCAGAAGCCATGATGCACCCCAGTTTGTCCATCTTTCCATCCATCAGTCTTCCTGAAGCTGCATAGCTGGTACATCTACTTAATATCTGTTGCAAGGAACCGCTTGTTTGTCCTGGCCGCCCAGAACCAAAATAATCACATAGAAACTTCATTAGTTAAAACACTGCTTGGCCCATTAGCTCTAGCTTCTTATTGGCTAACTCTTACATCTTAATTTAACCCATTTCTATTAATATGTATATCACCAGGAGGTTGTGGCCTACCAGCAAAGTTTCAGCACATCTCTGGTGGCAGATCCTTGGCATCTGTCTGAATCTGCCTCCTTTCTCACAGCCTGCCATTTAGTTTTCCCCGCCTACCTAAGTTGTGCCCTATCAACAGGCCAAGGCAGTTTCTTTATTCATTAATGGTACTCAAGCTTATAGAGGAAAATCCTGCATCAATTATCTTTGGATGTCTCCTGCACTTCAGTTGCACATACCTTCCTAGTTCAAAGAGTGGCAGCAATGGTCTAGCATGCTGCTGTCCCCCACTCACGCTGCCTTAGGATGATCCAGTTTGCTGTTTGAATGAGGGTGTTTCCTAGCTCCCCACAACTGAGACTGGGTAAGTGGGACCAACCAACATGAAGTAGCTAATGAGACTAACCTCGTGGGTGGGTCTAAATAAACGAGTCTGTTTCTTCAACATCCCACAGGTCATGAGGAGAGCACCTTCTGTTTCTCTGAAATCTTTAAGGTCCCTGTCTACTGCATTCCAAAGGCGGTGATATGGTATAGGAACTGGCCTACTGCAGAGGTCTGGACATCTCAAACGTCTCCCCTTTCTATGGCCCACTTTCTCTTTTCAGCAGAATGAAGGGTTTGGGGCCAGAACAAGATTCTTAAATCTTTTAAATGGTACAGTTCTTCTTTTAAGTGTAATTCTATATGAACGCTAATAGTTTCAGATGAAAGCAAACAGACTCCTGTTGCTGTTAGGTAGGAGGCTTATCTCTTCCATCTGTGACTTCCTTTTCATCAGGACCTCACAGCAAACACAAACTAACACATAAAGCTACCAGGAGCAAAACACTATGGCTTCCTGGGAAGTAGGAACTTGAGTATCTCCTCCAAAGGAAGTCAACAGAATTCCACCCAACTAGAGCCAAACTTGGATGTACAATACCTGCTGTCTATAAGCCTGTTGGTATCTATCTGTCTATTATCTGTCTAGCCCTCTATCTCATCTACTTATCAACTTATTTAGCCACCTATGTGTCATAAAGCTAGCTAGGTAATGAGTTGTACTGCTTTTTACTCTTCCTACAAATGAACATGCTATTTGAGCAATAGTCTCTGACTCGTCCCTCCCCTTTGTTCGTATATACATTTTGTCAATACCAAATTTAGCAGTACCAAATATCTGCTTAATCTCAGGCCTGGGCTCTAGCTAAGATAATACATGAAACACAGTTCTTTCCCTCAGATTGGTTCTGACAGAACATTCTTAAGAATATCACACTCAAATACATGTATGCCCGCCCTTGGTTGCCAGTCCTGTGCACCTCAATGCTTCTGTCTATACTAACATACAAAGTCTAATAGATATGCATGCTAAGGTTGTTATGGTATGTGCCCAAGGCCCTATCTTTACATGCAGAAAGTCTCACTTAAACCCTCTAGATCAGCCACTTACATATTTATTACTAGCATGAATAACTTTATAATGATCAATATTTTATGCATTATGGGCATCCTACCTTCACATTAAATACCAAAGAATAAAAAATTATTCTGTCCAATTTAAAGATGAGTTAAAGATATGAGGGGGGTATAGATTTTAAATATTGAGGTCAGGCCTCATGCCCAGGTAGGCAGACTTTGGAGCACATACTCTTAAACTCTATGTTCTGCCTCCATTAATCAGTACACACACAATAGCACAGGTTCATGTGACATATCTACATATTTCATCATAGATGCATGTGCCAATAGAAAATGTGTGCATGTGTATGTGTTTGCTGACACACGTGAACAGATATATGAATTAACAAACAGAAGCATGCATACAGGTGTTGATATTCAATGCTAGCATACATATTATCATATGCATTGCTCTGTGTACAAATACATACACAGACATATACCATACAGAGAAACTCACAGCTGATCCTCATGGATGAATGTATACTTAGACACACATACACACACACACACACACATACACACCCCACCTATGAGACACAGGGACAACATTCTATATTCAAGCTTGTGAGCTAGGCTAACTCCAGCCACGTGTTCTTTCCCAAGAGCTTTCTTCTTCCTCCTTGACTCCAAATGTTGCCCAATGAGACACTGAATAAGAAAATGTCTAATCCAGGATGTCAGAGTGTCTACTGTGTTTTGGGTTAATGTGCTCCATTTCCAGCTTCTGGGAGCCCTGTAGTAGAAGGATGGCCGGAATAACAAGAAAAAACTGACTCATATTCACAAGAACTGACAGTCCCAATGGAGCCTTATAGCTGGTGGATGATACCAGGACACAGGACACATGGCACAGGGCACCAGGCACAGGACACAGACAAGGGTACAGGGAAGTCTTAGCCTCTGGGGGTTCAGAGTTTCCTTAGCAAAACAGGGCATACAGATTACAGGCAGACAAATCTAAGTGAAACTGAGACGAACTTGTTCATCTTGGGGAGGAGGAACATTCTCTGTCCCCGTGAGCCTAGTCCTTCCATTCTGTAGATGGGAACTAAGGTTCAGAAGAGAAGTGGTGTGTCCGTTCTTATCCCTTATAAAATGTGCATGACAGGGGGCACAGAAAAGAAGCCTGGGCAGAGATACAGTTGGTGTCCTGGAGAAGATGTGGAATCAGGGACTCCGAGCACCAGTTGCACCCAGTCCACTCCATTTCATAGTTCCCCCTTATTCTTCCCTCTCCCCAGCTGCTTCCTCCTGTGAAGAGCAGGAATCAGCCTTTGATTTTCTCTTCTCACCGCCTCAGACTCATCTTCTAAGACTCTCTGATATCCACTTACTTCTCCCAAGCTGCTGCCATCTCTTCCCTGGGACACTAATTGCTTCCCAACTGGTCTTTCTCCAGCTTCACCCCTTCCCGTGTATTCTCTACAGTTCATAAGCACTTAAAACAAGATGGCGCAAGTGGGAAGAATTTTGCCTACTTGAAACAAAATCTGCCACCCGCTGAGCTGCTGCTGGACTCTCCTGACTTTCCTCTTATGCTCACCTGCCTCACAAACCACGTTCTAGTGACAGGCGTTTTCCAGAACTATCCTGTCTCTGTTTTTTACTTTGCTAGGGCTGCTCTTACTCCCTTCCTCATGCTGGAAGTGCTATTTGACTTTGGGTCCTTTGTCCTGTTGTGTGATTTATAGCTGATGCCTTGCTGTGTCCATGATCACACATATCACCTGTCCCACACACTCTACTCTCCATCCCAGGATACCAGTTTCTGGAGGGCAGGGATTTTACAAATTCAAACACATTTGGCTGAACAGATGAAGAGGCAGGTTGCCTTCTTCCCTTCTTCCTGGACCTCCTAAACAGTCACTCTGTCCTCTTCTGTAAGGAGTGCAAACAGCTGAATAGCTTAATTGTAGAAATAAAGGAGACCTGCTCAATTAGATAATTATTGCAGAGTCAATTCAGAATTCTGGACTCTTCCAAAGACGCTCATTCTCCTTCTGTCTTATAGACAGTGAACTTCTTTTTTGTTTATCTCCCATCCACTGAGGCTTTGGGAGAGAATTGGTGGAAGTTTGAAGGTATTCTTTAAAAAAAAAATTACTTATTCTTTGACAACTCCTTACATGTATAACACATTCTGGCCCCACTTACTTCCATCCTTTTCTTAGCCTCTTCCCACCTGCACTACCCACCCCCTTCCTCTCATCAGGTCCCCACTCTACTTTCATGCCTTCTGTTTCTGATTTGTAGCCCCCTGGGTTTAACCAGGGCCCGAGTGGGAAGCTATCCACTAGAGCACAACTCACAAGTAGCTACATCACTGACGACAATGACTTCCTGTCTCCCAGTAACTCTCCATCCACCCGTCCACCATTATCTCCCCCTTCTCATCAGGAACCGTATCAAGGAAGGCTGGGTGAATAAGGAGGAAGGCTGTGCTCCTTTTTACCATTGAATTGAAGAGTGTGTGAGGTTCAGATCAAAATAATAGTTATTGGTAGAGGGCCAGTCAAGAGAAACACAAGGGCGGTTATCATTTATTTGCAAAATGGGGAGGGAAAAAAACTTCAGAACTGAATGCTTGCAGTAGACGGCCTGCGGTCAAATCTTGGGAAGTGCACAGTGATGCTTTTAGGTACACAGTATCAGAAAAGACATGTGGGGCTTGGGACACAGTTCATCATTAGAGCACTTGTCTAGAATGTGTGAAGTCATATATTCAATTAAAATATAAAAAAATATTTGTTGGGGAGCAAGTGACACATCAGATTCTTGGAGATCCTATCTAGGAGCAAAACTAGTTTTGATTTCACAAATGCCTTGTGAATTGTCTGCGTTGGCGAGGATAGGTGGGCCTGTTTGAATATGTTTTATCCCAAATTCTAAATTGGCTCTAGGTTTCCTGAGAAAAATTAATTCTTAGGGACAGATCCCTGTCCTATGGTCTCCAGGCTATCCATGCAAATGTTCCCTTCCTTACATGGGAAAAGGAAGGAGCTGCAGCTAGGAGGGTGCCAAAGGAGACAAAAACTGTGGTATCGGTTTGCAATGTATCAGAGGAGGACAATGGCAGCATCACCACCATCAATCATCGTGCCGAGTGTAATTCTCATGAGAATGGCTGGGAGCAGCTTCTCATCCCTCATTATTTACTCTCTTACCCCTACATATGGCCAAAATGCCATTCTTGAAAATCAGGTTTTCTAGGTCAGGGAGGACTCAAAGTCAGCACACCACAGAGCGCTTTCTTCACGCCTGTGTTTGTTAGAGCACTGTACACACTAGTCAAGCTGTAGGGAATGAGCCTTTGTGTCCATCAGCAGTTGACTAGCTGAAGGCTATGTGGTGTGTATATACACAAGGGGGCTTTACTGAATCATAAAGACGAAGTTGTGCTGTTTTCATGAAAATGGATGACACTGGAGACCATCATGTAAGCAAAATTAGCCAGGGCCAGAAAGACAAATCTCACATGTCTTCTATCTCACGTGGACCTGTAAATCATTTCTATATGTGATAGAAAAATGGAAGTGAAATTTGGTAGAAAGACACACGGGGTTAGCAAGAGGGGAGTTCAAGTGAAGAAGCCTTTATGAGGTCATAATTACATACATTGAATATCCTTTATGAGACCATCACTACGCACATTGTGGTTTCGTTTCTGATGCTGTGATAAAATACCCCGACAGAAGCATCTTTAAAAGAGTATTTATTTGGCTGCAGCGCCAGGTCACAGTCCACCATTATGAGGAAGTCAAGGTAGGAGCTTGAAGCTACTGATCATATCACATTTGTAGTCAAGTACAGAAAGAAATGAATACGTGCACACTTGTTAGTGCTCAACTCACTCGCTACCCATCTTTACACTAAACACAGTTCAGGACCCCCTTGCCTAGGGACTAGTGGCTCCAAAGTGGACTGGCTTTTCCCATACTAATTAGTATAGTAGAGACAACCCTGACCCTGCAGACATGACCACAGGTCAACCTGATCCAGACAATCCTTCATCACAACTCTCTTCCCATTTCATTCCAGGTTTTGTTGGCAACCAACACTACATCATACTTGCCCATTAAACTCCCTCTTCCCCCAAACTGGGTTGAAGCCAGAAAGCTACATATTTATATTGGACCTAGTTATGGAGGACAAAAGGTGGGCTAATTGCTGGCTCAGAAATGCTCGTCAAGCAATACTTGTGGTCCGTGACTTCCTGGGGTGGGTACCCCTTACCTTATATAAGACATGGTGTTATAGGACAAAGGAAGTTTGCTATGGATGTGAGGGGGCAAAGCCTATAGTCCATACCAATTCCCTGCTCAGAGTGATTTTCCTCTTAATAGAAGTCATTGCTGTGTCCTCCCTCCCCTAAGAGGCTTTCAGTATTTGCATTACTGGATGGATGTTTCTTAGAAAAGGATGGCATTCAGTTGTTATAATTTGAATTTTAAAAAATGCATTTGCCATCATCTAATACATG